ACACTCCTATCACCAATTCCTTACAATTATATCCGCTCTATATCCGATAGGGGTCCGGGATAGATAGGCTAGTGGTTAGACTATCACCTTTATTAATCATGACAACAGCATTCCAAGAGGAAACCATATGAGAAACCCCTGCAGAGCAGGAGAATCGCCTACGAGACCAAGGAGCTACACTGAGTCCCTTGGAAGAAGATATCGATGAAAAAATCACGGCACTTGAAGCAGAGAATGAGATACTCAAGAAACTTGAAAAGGTGAGGCGACTCGAGGCCCGGAACCAAGCGCTGCGCAGTCGCCCTGGAAATGAGACACCAAGCGAGATCTTGGATGACCCCCCCACATCCCGTGAAAGTATGCTAACTAGGACCACTGATTTTCAACTAAAAGAGCTACCTGATTATCATGGCAAGAACACCAGGGAGCATCGCGAGTGGTTCCAGGCCGCGGAGAATGCGTTTCGCCTGGCACCTCGCAGGTTTCAAAATAACACTATCAAAGTAGCATGGTCCGCTTAATCTCTCTAAGGTATGATAGCAAGGAGCTAGAACAACTACATCGAGGTACACCCTGAGTACGCACACTTATAGGAGAAATATAAGACCTTCCTCCTCGACCTCATCAAGGCGCCGGAGAATCGAGAACTACATATAGCGATGGCATACCAGCATGCGGAACAAAGACCAGGACAGATGACTTAGCAGTTCTATCAGTACCTCCTCAGCCTTGAGCGACAGCTCAATGAGGACTTCTCTGAGAACCAGCAAAGGTTCCACCTGCTAGCTCGCCTACGACCCGAACTCAGGGATCAGCTGAACCGCTACCAGGACATGCCTAAGACCTGTAAATCTATCGTCGCGCTGGCGACACACCTAGAAGGCTTAGGCAAGAAGAGGGTTAGTTCCAATACTAACAACGGAACCACTGGGAAGACCCGAAGACTAGATTCAGACAATACCTATGACACCAAGTCGGCATTGGATCGCCGCAAGACCGGAAGCTATGCGTAAGGGTCCTCGCAGGCGCAGACCCCAGGGCATAGCCAGACCTTATGTTTTATATGTAAGGACCTAGGACACTTAGCTCGGGACTATCGTAAGGCAGGCATGACCCAACCAGGCGCATCACTGGATAACCAGTTAGGAAAAGACTAAGGGGCGCCTTCGAACCCACAGAAGTCGTCCTAATGCAATTACTGGTGGGTACAGCGGAGCGACTGCGAGAAGGTGTTGTAAAGCGCAAGGCATTACAAGCTTCAGGAGTTATCGTCCTTCCTGATAGCAAGATAGCAGTTGAAACCACACTAGACACTGGAGCGGAGCTGAATGTTATTGATCCTAAACTGGCGATGCAGCTACGACTCCCTACCGCTGACATAGCGTTACCAAAGGGTCTAGTATGGGGCAATGGAGAACGCGCACACTGCTACGGAGCCTATATGGTCAGCTGGGAAGCGACCGACTCCCAAGGACAACGCAGGAGAGGCACACACGTGGCGTACGGTCTGGAGCACGTGGGATCTCCCTTGATACTAGGGATGCCGGGCCTCTATGACCAGAAGGTTATATGCGACCTTGAGCAAGGAACATAGTACTTCAAAAGCGAAGAACCCACGATTAGTCTAATCCAAGTAGATGAAGTTGAGGAGCATGCGAGGGAGAGCGGGTATATCCTTATCGTACATAAAAATTCCCTCCTTAAGGAGGACGCGGATGACGATGACGGAGCGCAGTCAACCCCTGTGCTACCTGAAACCTATATAGATTATGCAGACGTCTTCAATGAGGAAGCTGCAGTAGCACAACTGCCTTACCTAGAAGCAGAGCATGCTATTGAAACAACATCAGCACCGCCCTATGGCCCGATCTATCTATAAAGCGCGCGTGAACTGGAGGAGCTGAGGCAATATATCACCAAGGCGAAGGCGAATGGTTGGATCTGAGACAGCACCAGCCCAGCAGGGTCTCCTATCCTCTTCATACCAAAGGCGGATGGGAGCATGCGCCTCTATGTTGACTATCAGGGACTAAATCAAGTCACGGTCAAAAACCGCCACCCTTTACCTCTGATCTCTAAAATCATAGATCGCCTCAGTGGCGCGAAGGTATTTACCAAGCTAGATTTAAAGTGGGCATACCATCGCATCTGCATTAGGCGGGGTGATGAGTGGAAGACTGCGTTTCGCACATGATACAGGCACTATGAGTACCTAGTTATGCCGTTCAGGTTAGCTAATGCCCCAGTAACCTTCCAGGCCTTCATCAACAAGGCCTTAGAAGGCTTAGTGGACACCATCTGCATTGTCTATCTTGATGACATTATCATCTACTCAGCAGACCCTAGCGAACACGAGGCGCATGTGAAGATGGTGTTGGATCGCTTGCGAACCTACAGATTATATTGCAATCTGAAAAAGTGCTCATTCACACAGCAGAAATGCACCTTCTTGGGGTACATCATCAGCCCCGACGGCGTGGAGATGGACCCTCGCAAGGTGGACGCCATCATCTCATGGCCGAGCCCAAAGACATACCCAGAGCTGCAGACCTTCCTGGGGTTTTGCAACTTCTATCGACGGTTCATCTACAGGTACTCAAAGCTGGCAACCCCACTCACCGACCTCCTTAAAGGAAGTGTCAATGGCTGAAAGGAGGGACCCTTTATCTGGAATGACCATGAGGAATAAGCGTTCTATAAACTTATCACAGCATTTACAACAGCCCCTGTATTAGCCCATTTTGACCCAGCGAGACGCATTCGCGTCGAAACAGACGCGTCAGCATTCGCCGCAAGTGCGGTATTATCACAATTGAATGAGGAAACTGGGATGTGGCACCCCGTGGCCTTTTGGTCGCGCAAGTTTACCTCAGCAGAGAGAAACTATATGATGTATAACCAAGAGCTGCTCGCAATCATGGCGGTATTTAGGCACTGGTAACACTACCTTGACAGTAGCGCACACCCAATTGAGGTGATCACTGATCATCAAAACCTCACCGGCTTCGCCAGGGTCAAGCAGCTGAATGGCCGGCAAGCTAGGTAGGCTATGGCCCTATCAGCTTATGACTTCACGATTTCGCACCGTGCAGGTAAACTTAACCCCGCCGATGCGCCGTCGAGGAGGCCGGACTATAATAACACGGAAAAAGCCGCGAATCTAATACTGCCAACATTATTTATAAAATTGGCTATAGAGCCAGAAAGAGAAATCGTGGGCGCACTATTGGCACGGTCTATAAGCGCTACGCATAGGCAAGCTACTGGCATAATAGCCTAACAGAGTTTCCTCCTACTAGTCAGTACTGGAGGGGATGACCTGCTAAGTATGGGTAGGGAGCTAACGATGCTCCGGAGAGGCGTCAGAGAGGTGTCATCTCAATAGAGTTTCCTCCTACCAGTCAGTACTGGAGGGGATGACCTGCTAAGTGCGGGTGGAGAGCCAATGATGCTCCGGAGCGATGTCAGAGAGGCGTTAGCTTAAGAAGATGTATATGCTATAACTACCAAGTCAACAAGACAATTAGTCGCTGAAGCATAAGCCCAGAGCGCTAAAGCGCAAGAGCTGCGCCGGCGGATTGAGAAGGGCGAAGCAACGAAGCGCTGGGCGCTGAAGGATGATCTGATCATGCACTCAAATCACTTGTTTGTGCCTCCAGTACGTGCATTGTGAGATGAGCTATTGAGAAGACATCATGACGATCCCTATGCAGGTCATTTCGGTGCATTACGGATGGCTGAGCTGCTTAGATGTAAGTACCACTGGCCTCGCATGGGTGAAGACGTTGACATGTATGTATAAAGCTGCGACGTGTGTTAGAAGACAAAAGTCAAAAGGTATAAGCCCTATGGGGTAATGCAAGCACTTCCGATACCAAGGAGACCATGGAAAGAGATCGCCCTAGATTTCATGAGTGGAATACCTATCAGTATGCGAGGCAACGTCGCCTATGATGCGATACTTATGGTGGTATGTAGGTTCTCGAAAATGGCACTGTACTTTGCTATTCAGAAGACGATCTCAGCACCTGAGGTTGCAGATATACTGATAGACTTGGTCTTCGCAAGGTTTGGCTTTCCAGGAGGCATTATATCTGACAGAGACCCTAGGTTCATATCTGAATTTTGGTCCGAACTCTGCTACTACGTGAAGGTGAAGCGGAGACTTAGCACAGCCTTCCATCCGCAAACAGATGGCCAGATAGAAAGGAAAAATCAGATATTATAAGAGTACTTGAGAGTGTTTTGTGTGATGTGCCAGACAGAGTGGGCGAAGCGCCTATGTATCACTAAGTTTGTGTATAATAACTCCTATTGAGCTGACCTAAAATGCTCACCATTTTATGCAGTTTATAGGTATGACCCTGATATGGACCTGGATACTGAGGACAGTGCCTATGAAGAGAGGGTGCTAGCAGTAAAGGAACGAATATAATGTGTAGTTGAATTACGCGATTCGCTGCAGTACTACCTATAAGACACCTTAGAGAAGCAGGTGAAGTACTATAATGAAAAATATTAACCCAAATAATTCTGAAAGAATGACTTGGTGCTAATCTCTATGAAGAACCTTCGCATATGAGACGCAAGCAAGAAGCTGGGATAGTGATTTATGGGTCCTTTTCGAGTGGACGAACCTGTCGGCAGCCAAGCCTATAGAGTACACCTTCTAATAAGCTTAAAGATATATAACATGTTTCATGTCTCAGCGCTAGAGCCTTACCACTGCCGCGACGGCGAGCAAGATATCCTACCACCGCCAGAGCTCGATGATGATGACAAGTATGAAGTAGAAGAAATCCTCGATTAACAGCGACGGCGAGGCGCCTTCTGGTACAAGGTGAGATGGAAGGGTTGGCCAGAGGAGTATGACCAATGGCTACCACAAGAAAATCTCGAAAACGCACAGGAATTGCTACAGCAGTTCAAGCGAAAACGAACACAAGAAGCCATGGACCGCAGACGGCACGGCGGCGAATCATGCAAGAAGAGCCGACGAACGAGGAGTTAAACATGCTGCATTACTATCGATGCTATTACCATAGGGTATCAATGGCTAGAGGCCGGAATCATCGCAATTCGGTTAATATCCCATAACGCCTTCTATGGCCCCTTTGCTCTCGGATGAATCCTCGATAGGGTCAAGCTAGTGCTGCATTAGGTTAGCGACCTTAACCCAGTCACAATAAGAACGAAACTTATAGCCTTATAATATAACCTGAGGAATTGATCGAAGAAGCGGCTACAAGTTACATATAAAGCCCGCATCTCCTGCAGGAGGAGCACTGACGCCTCAGAGGCGCGGCTGACAGGAGTGCTCATGCCAGAAGCACGCTTGGAGACACGGTTTGTTTGTTGAATATCAGCAACCAGGCTGGTGAGCCGCGCACGAAGCGCCTCCTGGGCTGCGGCGTCATCAGAAGACGTTTTTGCTGTGTCCTCAAGCAAGGAATTGATCTGAGGCACGCAAGTCGAAGGAATCTACCCTTGTCAGCAGCAATCACTTGAAGAAAAGATATGACTTATAGGCAGGCAACGCTTTCGGCCCAACTGATAGTGGCGGCACTTGCGTATTGCTGTCTTGTTATAAGGAATGGTATTACTGTTGAGAAGATATTGAGCATAACAAGCGCAACAAACATGAGCCAATGCCATAGAAGGGCGGCGATAACGAGCGACGCGGCTGGAGCGAGGAGTCGAAGCCTCGCCGGAGTGAGCTAAGGCAGACTCAGCGAAGACAGTGGCCTCAGTGGCCGAAACCTCGCTAGCGTGAGGGGACGCGGATTCGTGTGAGAGATCAAACGTCACCTCGCCGGTGCGAGGAGACGCAGGCGCAGCGGATGATGGCGGCGTCGAAGACATGATCAAGAAGAAATCAATTAAGTAGAACACTTTATGTGATCTGATGGCATGGCGGCAGCGATGTCAGCCAAGATAAGGATATAAGGAGGATGGTTCAAGCACGCGAACGAGGTGATGTTTATAAACCTGAAAGTTCAGGTCACTTAAGGACTGAAATCTCAGATCTCAGAGGGTGACCTGAGGCTGAAGATAAACTGAACTGATGAGACCGCCGACGCGAAGGCGAGGCGAAAAGGTGAAGCGCAAGAGGCGCCAATCTCAAAAATGAAAAACCATAAACTATCCACTCAAGTGACAAGGACGTCACTTTAGAGAGGGGGAGGCAATTGTCACGAACGGCGTGACAGCAGTATGGCGCGGGCGCCACAGGGAGTAAAAGCACACATAGCTATCGCATGACTACTCATATATTCAAGACTGGAGCGAAACGGGTTGAAACCCCAACGGTAAGAAGATGAGACGCCTACGCGGCCCCTGCGCACCTGTGTATTTAAGATAGCTCGAGGACATACATTCGAGAGCTAGCGGATATTCTTGAATCCTATAATCTATCTCACACTCCTATCACCAATCCCATACAACATATTTAGAAAGCCTCATGCGTGACAGGTGGGAGGTGAATCTGATTAAAAATAATTTATATTGTAGAGAGGTCTCTACCAGATTTTCTAAGTGTCAGAAAGAGTATTGATAGGAGTTACTACTAAGAGGTGCGATTTGATGCTTTATTACTCCCATCAGGAGCGCGATCTGTTAAATAGCAGGGTACCTGTTAACTTACCGGTACAAACTGTGTCAGTCTATGCACGTGCCAATATCACGTGACATGAGGAAACGCTGGCCACATAAAAGAGGAGAGCCAGGGGTAGGGGACCAGGGAACAATCATACAATCCATCAGTCTAGATGACATAGAATGAACTAGACAAGCTTACGGTCCGACTTATGCATCATTCATCATTCCCGTGATACTCCGCACGGACATTGACAAACTGAGATCTGCTTATCTCATCTGCCGAGGCACAAAGCTTGTGGCTGATACATGCTGATAACAGGCACCGACAGCGAGATATTAGGCACTAAGGCCGATCTGCGCTAAGGATATTTGTTGTCTTTAGCGTCAAGTTCCGAGCAGCCTCTTCTGCAGAATCGCTGTTTGCAGAGATTGTGCGACTGCGAGACTTTGCTTTTTGCTCCCAGTATGGTTTGCAAGTCCTTTGCGGTTAAGGAATCAGTTTTTTTTTTCTTGTAAATAGGACACTGCTGCTTCAAGTTGGAGCTCAATATTAAAGGCATCATTCAGATAGGATGCTGAACTTCAGTGGTATTATGCTGTATCAGCAGTAATATTATCTAAACATTTTGCGAATCATCTCATGAATTTAACAATAATCCGAATCAGCTATAAATGCGCCATGTACTTCATCCCTATAGATAGAACCTTATAGGGAGGCACTCGCAACGATATTGCTGATAGTACCCAGCCCAACCTCTTACTATATCCCTCTACAGCAGCAAGACTTCATCTATGATAACCTATCTCTCAGCTTATACCGCCAGCGGATTGATCTGAACCCTACCAAGAGTATACCCACCCCTAGGCAACCAGCCATCACAGAACTGTGACGCATACAAGCGATAGGAAAAGATGAATAAGCAAATTTGGCATAGTCAGATTTCATTAAAGAGTTTACAACAATACTTTAGATACCTGCCTGTCCTATCAGGTATGTTTTATGAAGTATCTTCGCGTAGCGCCTTCTGCCAGAATTTAAACCAATATAAGATTAAATCCACCTCTGTATCAATATTGAATCCACTCTTTCATTTATCAGTTTATTTATAATCAATAATTGTGATCTTACTGCCGTCATAAAGAACATTGCCCAAAGTGAGGTTCTTGTGAACCAGATTTCTATCTGCCAGCCAACTTAATACCCATCTCAGCTTGTTCTTGAGAGCATCTACTGTGAGATCCTGCCGCTCGTTCAGACTCGTGCCGCAGTATAAAAGAAGGATCCCATTAATATTATCATATAACCCTCTGCTGTAGTAGATAGGTAGGACTTATCCTTATGAGTTTTCATGCTCTGTGTATTGTGCGATTTCATGTTCAAATTCAGATTCCCAGCCATCCTTCTTTTTCTTAAGAATGAGTTGGGGTGGTAGCAACCATACTGGGTGAACCCCCCCGATCAAACGTTTGAGTCATGTGAGATGGCTGAGGGCTAGGTATACGGCATGGTCTAGCACATTGCGGCGGAGCGTAAGATGGAAGGTGTTGTGGTTCTCGCATTCAAGAGGGGTGCACTCCGCCATTATAGAAGTTCCTCAATATCGAAGCTATTAGCGCGGTTAGTAGATCCCTCATTATCTGGCTCTCTAATATCCTATTCAACGTACTTTAACTAATGAGTTCTGCTCCTGCATCGTTGCAGGGAGTGCTGGTTCTTGCAGAGGTAGTGGTGGTGGCGGTGGATATGGCTTTGCCAAGGCCATGAATGCTACTGATCTAGTGGCAAATTAGATAAGGCACGACAGTGCATAACGGGAGATAGACAAGATGACGTGATATATGCTACTTCGCGGAGAGCGGCGATGCAAATTTGGCAGTCACGTATTCCGCATCGCTCGTTTCTGACTTGACTTGAATTCCTACTCGGATGTTGTCAATGTCCGTGCGGAGGATCACGGGAATGATGAATGATGCATAAGTCGGACCGTAAGGTTGTCTAGTTCATTCTATGGTGTCTAGACTAATGGATTGTATGATTGTTCTCTGGTCCCCTACCCCTGGCTCTCCTCTCTTATGTGGCCAGCGTTTCCTCATGTCACGTGATATTGGCACGTGCATAGACTGACAGATGTGGCCGCTCTTAGTCAGCAGCTATGCCCGGTCAGGTGGACTTCGCCAGACAGCCAACACGCGACAGACTATATTACATAATCCAGCACGTCCCACTTCGCTTCGCTTAATATAAACAAAACCAGCTGTCCCTTCCATTCACCCTTTTATCTATTAACAATTGTCTATAGTTGCTGGTTGGCTCTGTTAACAATCATTATACTATTAATGTTACTATAGTATTTAGGCTCCTGGAGGCAGTGCCTCCTATATCACTGTCTGCATACCTACAGTCTCGCCCTAATACACGACGTCATCTACGCGTTATTGGTCTCATCGCCCACTGAGACCTGCATTTATTCCATAAATCTGATAGCCTTGATGGCTAGCTTGCGTGTACTCAGAATAGCTCTGAGGTTATTCCGTCCTGGGAGGCGGCCTAGTTCCTGTCTCCAGAGGTCCTTGTAATGGCGGCAGCTCAGTAGGACATGAGCTACTGTTTGTCGCTGTTCACCACAGTGACACCTTATGTTATGGAATCCTGGAGCGTGGCGATTGAAGAGGAAGTCCTTGAGGCCGATCTTCTCAGTTCTCATCTGTACTAGCAGAGCGCTCTCCGCCTTGCTCAGGTCAGTGTGGAGTTGGAGGACCTTCTTAGTCGGGATTAGCGTGTGCCTGCGGACGGCCTTGCCCTTGCTTTCCACTGCCCAGCTCGCCTGCCAGCGTCGGTTAGCAGTCTTGTAACTCCATGTTTTGAGAGTTGTCTTTAGTGGATGTAGCCGTGCTGGTGGTTCCGCCCTTTATCCTCTGCTGTCTCCCATCCTCCATCCTGTGGCCTCCTTAGCAGCCAGGTCCGCACGCTCATTGCCGTCAATCCCCTTATAGGCATATATCTATCATATATTGATGGTAACTCCTACAGCCCCTAACTCATTAATCTTTTATATCATCTATTAAATAATATATGCTCCTGAGCGACCCTCTGGTCTGATGACGGAGCGGATGGCTGCTTAGTTATCTGCAAAGATATGCAGGTGTTTATGATTATTTCCTTGCTCCATATCTTCCTGTACCATAGCCAGCGCTATCCAGATGCCTTGCAGCTCCGCTGCGTATACTATCAATATAATATCTAGACCCATATATATGCTTCTTATTTGTTGTCTCGCGGGCCACACCACAGCTGCTCCTGTTTAACCTTTAATACAGCTTCCATCTATGTATATGCAGGTGTTGTCTCTGTCAGCAATAACTTTATCATGTTAAGAGAGCGCTTCATCATCGTTCGAGGCTATGTGTATAGCTACACCCTGCCACCAGGGTGGGGCAATAAAGGGTCTGATCTTTTCGCAATTAGAGAGATAGACTATGTCATCTATTCTCAGTTAATTGATGATCGAAGAAAGTGGCGATTTATGTATTAGTTCCTATTGCCGACTAATTTAGCTGCACGCATTGGCCAGCCCTGACAGCTCCAGGAGCCCGTCACTTGTGAGCATCCGGCCTATAGCTTCAGCGTTATATTTCCATATCTGATGTTTAATCAGGAGAAGGTGTGTCTCAACATCGAGCGCTGGCCAGGATATTGCCTTGAAGGCTCCGCAGATCGATCAAGCCACTCACGCTAAGATAGCCTTCAGTATATTGAGAGTTTGGTCTATATATATGCCCTTACTCCCTCCCGGGTTCGACCACAGTGAGCACGTGTATATCATCTATGGTACAGCGACGCCGCGGTAGATCTTCCTTATGTCAGTCAGGCTGACGCCCCATGTTGAACTGCCTAGGCAACTCAGTGTGTTAACCGTGTTTATGGTCTCTCTGCGTATTTCCTGGACATGCTCTTTCCACTTCAGCTTGCTGTTAAGTATAACTCCTAGGTATTTGCATGTTATCTTAGGCTTGATCTTTCCTAAAGTGGTGTCTAGCGGCTGCTTCACATTAATGCGCGTGCGCGCGTGTGTGAAGTGGGTGAGTTGGAACTTTTCAGGAGCAAATTTGGATGCATGTTTTCCTGCCTATCGACTGGCTTTTTCAAGCGCACGCTTGAGCTTGGCACATGTCTCTTTGGTCGAGTTTCCGCACGCGAAGATCGCACCATTATCTATATACCCTGTCACTTCTATATCATCAGAATTACAGCATTCTATTAGGTTGGTGTTATAGAGGATATAGAGGACCGGCGACAGATTGGAGCCCTGTGGCACACCAGTCTTGATAGCATACTCATCAGACTCATAACTATTAATAGTTATTCTTATACATCTATCGCTGAGGAAGCTTGCTATCTATCTAACAATTCTCTTATCAACCCTCTGTTTCCGTAGGTTATGCAGCAGTCTTTTGTGCGAGATATTATCAAAGGCACCTGAGATGTCGAGCAGTAAGAGGCTAAGCACCTGGCCTGGGCCTGTGTTCCACGCCTCATACACCCTCTCCACGACGGTATGTAGCGCATGCTTGTCGGACCTCAGCTTCCTCCCACCAATATGCAGTCTAGGAAGTATGTGGTGGGTCTCTATTAGATAACTCAGTCTGCGTGCGATGACCGCATCCATAACCTTACCAATTATATTCAGTAGGGCTATAGGACAGTATACTTTAGGTGTAGTGTAGTCGTCCTTCCCAGGCTTGCGCAAGGCAACCGTTATGGACATCCGGAAGTGTGCAGGACAGTATCCTAGCTTCATGCTCTGGTTCATAATTATAGTTAGATGTCCCACCAGTATAGATAAGGCTGCTTATAGGGCTTTATTTAGGATGCTATTTAGCCCTAGAGCTTTGAGTGGCGCTGCAGCTTGAATAGCATCAAGAACTTCCTTCTCAGTAATGTTAGGCATTGGGATCTGGTCTTGGTACTCTGCACTCTCTATATCTCTCAGGTCTGCCTCGGGTGGTTCTGGGAAGAAGGTCTCTTGTAGAAGGTCGGCCTTCTCCTCTGGTTTTATGGCTTTTTTTCTGGTGCGTGTGCACTTGATCATAGATGTCATGCTTGGGGGTTGGTTCTCTCTATTGCGAGCCCACTTGGCGATCCTCCAGAGGGACTCTGCCGACCCTGCGGCTTTTTCTATTCGATCCCTGTGTGCCTGGTATAGGGCCTTCCTTATCACGTGTGTTTTCCGGTTCCGTGCTTTGCGGTAGAGCTCCCACATCGCTATTGTTAGTTGTCTTATATATATACAGCGTAAGCGTTTTGTCTCCGCTAGTACCTCAGTGCATATGTCATCCCATCCCTCCCTGGCTTTAGGACTATATTTTCTCAGTGGGAGTACTTTGTCAGCGGCCTGAGTGATAGCAGCTATGAGTTCTTGAGTATAGCTATCTAATACCACAGGTGTCCTCAGTCTTCTTCTTGATAGTAGGGAGTATTATAGCGCGTCGCAGAAACTTTTGGTGTTTAGGCGTTTCTATAGACATTTGGGTTTGACATTGTTCTGGTTGGTTCTGACATCTAGAAGAATGCTGATGGGTAGGTGGTCAGAGTCGTGATCCATATCTTTGTTCACTGTACTTTTGATGGTCCTATCCACCACGCCTAGTGTTATCCAACAGAGGTCTATGGTCGATCTGCCGTCCCCTTCTTCATAGGTGATAGTGCCTGGTTCTAGCATGCTGGTCATGTCTAGACTCTCCATCATCTCGAGGAGATCCTTTGCCTCCTGTTCTTCGTGTCGGACTCTTGAGCCCCCCCAGAACCGGTGATGGAGGTTAAAGTCGCCTAAGGCGATTTTGTTCTTTAGGTGCATGTTTCGTCCCATCGTGTTCTGTGGTGCATTGTACACGTTATGTATGATAAGCTCATCGTCTGACGCACCTGGTCTATTTGTGCTGATTTTCAGCGTGCACAGGTCTCTTGTGTGCTGTTCAAATTGCCATGCGCTGTGGTCGAGTCTCTTATTGACGAAGAAGCACACCCGTGCTGGGCCTTCCCCATTGTCTATGGTTGGGTAGCAGAGGTGGAATATATCCTTCGCTGGGTGGTGTGTTATCAACATAAATGAGTTCCTCCACGGCTCCTAGATCGCAAGCACGTCATACTCTGCAACCCTGGGGTCTTGTAGCAGCGTCGCCATGACTGTGTCCTTTGATTTATATATGTTGTACTGCAGTATGTTCTATTGTTATTGTCGCTTAATTATGCATCTATATCAGGGTCGATATCTATCTGTATGTTGTTGCGTCTGCTCGTGTTCGCTTCCAGCGCCTTGAGCGCCCGCCTTGACGGCATTGCCACCCTCTATGGTCGTTGGCTGGCACTTGGGGCTTTATTTTCCTTGTCTCCTGTGGGTGCTGACCTCTTCTGTCCTTGTCCTCGCGTGGAGCTAGGCCGGCTCGTCCCTGATTCCGACATCAGGGCTAGTTCCCTCTCAGACCTTGATCTCCTGAGAATCATCCGATCTGGCCCCCGCTGATCTGTTTCGCCGCTGGCTTTTAAGGTTAGGTGATACTTGGGCTGTGTTGCGAGCACTACTTTGATCTTGCCCAATTCCTCTTTCCTGGTTGGGCATGCCTGGCTCTATGCTTTGTGTGCTCCGAGACACACTGCGCACTTCCTGATGGTATCCTGACCGGTCTTAGATAGGCACTCCCAGGAGCTGTGTAACTGCGCGCAGTAGCCACATGTCTTTACTACCTTGCATTTGGTTCCTATATGGCTGTATTTTTGGCATTGGAAGCACTGCTTCAGTTGGCACTGTCTCTTATATTGTTTGCTATTACATCTCTCTCCTTCCCACACCAGTCCCTCATCGATGATTTTGTTGGCGTCTTCTGCTTATGTGAACTTGATGACGATAGACGACATTGATTTGTTTGGTGGTCTCCTAGTCAGCCAGCCAATGTATTTGATATCTGCTATAGGGAGGAATGCTCTGTTGGCTTGCAGGATTTCGGCTTTAACCTCCTTGAACCTCTTGGTGTTCATCATGCTGGTGTGTATACTATATATAATAACCCTGTATGTATGGGTATGTACCAACTTTCCGCTTCCGAGTCGAGGAACCCAGTCATCCATGAATTCACGGAGCGTCTGCATCTCACTGTTCGTTGCTGTTCTGATGCTGAGATCCCCGCTCTTGAGCTGGTTAGCTGATATAGTGGTGATCTTAGCTATGTGTTTGTTTTCGCTCTGGGCGATGGCTGTGTCAATATAGGCTTTCATGATACGCGGATTCATGGCGCGTAGGTGTTGGATTGTCTGGGCATTTCTTATATTTATGATAATCTCACGCTGCACTAGAGATAGAGCATTATAAGTATTTTATATACTGTGTGTATTTGCGATCAGGGCACCATGTGCTGCCGCAGCAGCATAGCTCATTAGTCCTCCTATCTGATGCTGTGTTCCTCTATTCTTTATATCTCTTGCTATAGCGGTGACTGTCTTGCCTACTTCCGCGGCCTCAGTCGCCGGCACGGTGGCTGTCTCGCCCGCTGTGATGCCTTTTTGTACCTTCACCGCCAGATTCTTGAGTTCCTCTTTGATGTTATATATCTCTTTCGCTATACCATTCGCATTCACCATCATTTCTATATATATAGTGCTTATCTTCTGATATACCACTGTTATATCAGGGGTCCTCATGACCTTTCCGACCAGGGATATTGCTGCCATAACTACTGTTCTTATCTCTTCTGGGGTTACTGGTTAGTTTTTCTTGTGATCTAGATAGAGCAGTATGTTCTGAAGGTGCCCCGTAAGTTGAGTAGCGTGCTCCTGTATTGGTACTGGCCATGCCACCTCTCAGGGCTATGGGATCGTCATTTCGCGTTCCATACGCGTTGGTCGACGCACTGCGACTGCTGATGACCTCAGTTCCTTCAGGATGACGTGTTCGCACGATAGGAATATTCAATTTCAACGATTTGAGTTCTCGCTGTTATGGTGTTTTCCTGTTGTCTGATACGTTCGACTGCAGGCGGTGTCACGAACGGGCGTGACAGCGGCGTGGCGCGGGCGCCACGACGGAGCATAGCGCACGTGATGATCACGTGACTTCCCGCAGATGGTGCGGACGGGGCTGAAACGCCAACAGTAAGAAGGTGCGGCCCCAGCGCGCACACGTGCATTTAAGACAGCTCATGAGCAAGAGTCTCAAGGGCTAGCGTATATCTTGAATCCTAAAGCACAACAACAGCGAGAACTCTCACCTTTGGAATAAAGAGCTCAATTGTGTTCACATACATCTCCTGAAGACCGGAAACTGCTTTCTCGGAAGCCGCACCGCCCAGCGCGGCCGTAAGACATGGCGACGCCCTGGTCCCAGGAGGTAACCGGGCCCACCAACCTCCGAGAGCGTGTCCTAGAAATCACGAAGCAGCTCAGCGATACATTGCAAGTCGTAGAAAGAGAGAAAGAGATCGATAGAAAGCAACTAAGCAAAGCCCTCAAGAGCGCGTTACTCGCGCTCGCCAAAATCAAGGACACCCCTGACGTAGCCTCCCTAGAAGAGAAGGTAGATCGACTGCGCACAGAGACAGTGAAAGGATGGAAAAGCATGGATGAAGCCTTCCGACACCTCCGAGAAGACATAGAGGCAACAAAGGCAAATACACAAGCAGCAGCAACAGCGGGTAAAGAAGCGAAGACAGCGGCGATTGAGGCAGTCGACATAGGCAGGACGGTACTCAGAAACAAAGGGACACACCAGCAGCAGGCTATAGCAAGCTATGCCGCCGTGGCAGCGCAAGGAGCGACGGCAACAAGTACATATAGTCCACAAAACACCAGACCTCCTGCACAAACGCATCGTGAGATCATCGTGAATATTAGAAATGCACAAACGATCCACCACCTGCGTTCCATGAACCCACGCAACCTGAAAGCCCATGTCGAACAAGCTATAGCCCAAGGCAGAGTAACCAACGCAAAGGTCATGTCTGTGAACCAACTCATGAGCGGAGACATCAGCATAAAAACGGTTACACCGGGCGAAGCACAGACGCTCAGACAGTCCGCCCAGGAATGGGTCCCTAGGATAGGGAACGGAATGTCAATACGCAGCCAGACGTACGGTGTGCTCGTACACAGCGTATATACCAAAGACGTGGATATGGACAGACTGGACGAAATCAACGCCGCTATCTTGAGTGAAAACAAACCCTTTATCC